GAGAATTCTGGTGCTTGTGCAGGGCTGGGATGGGAAAGGCGACGATCCATTCTGCCTAGAAGGACTGTGCAGTGTCATCTTTTCAGTAGACTTGCCATCTCTCTGGAATTTTACCAGTAGTCTTCCTTGTTCTTATCATATACAAAGTCATTTGAGGGTTTTGTCTTCCTCCCCTTTACACCTGTTCCAAGTCTCAACTTGAGTAGGTTTAACTTTTTTCTACATTTTTCCTCTTTCATTTTCAAATTTACTCCTGTCCTAAAATTGTTTCTCTTTCTGAGGGTAGATTACACTCATATTTTACTAAATCCTCCCTTCTCTGTTATCTTTCCATTTCTGACCCAGAGAATTGTCCAAGATCACATATCTTGTCAGTGGCACACGAGTAAAAAAGAAAATACGTTATAGCTTAAATACCATTTTTCTTTTCTTTGACTGCTTTCTCCCCTTTTTCTCCCTTCCTCTCTCTCTCTGTCTCCTTTTAATTTTATTATTTTTTAACTTTCTCTTTTTTTTAATTCCTCTGAGGATCTGTTCTGTGCAGTGTATACAATACTGAACAAATTAAACATGGCTTCTAATTTCATTAATTGGTAATCTAGTAGGGGGAAGTGTGCCTGGAACACGTGTAGGTACAGAGTCATACCTTAAATTGTGGTTGTACTATGGTTGCTATGAGAAAGTGCAAAGGAGAACCTAATTTATAAATGATAGTAAAGGGAGATCTTAAGCTGAGAACTCAAATGTGGGGGTAAGATCATTGCATGCAGAGGAAATGATACCTATGTCAGAATTTGATATGTTCAAGAAGCAAAAAAACACTTGTGTGATCAAAGTATTTATAAAGGGGAAAACAGAACAAAATAGATTAGAGAATGAGACAGAATCAATATCTTTATGGTTTTATTATCTAAGCTAAGAAACTGAGATTTTATTCTGAGCTTCATTAAATACTAGATTAGAGTTTGAGCAGTGGACTGTCATAATCTGATTATATTTTTAAAAATTGGTTCTGGCTACTCTGTGGAAAAAATAGATCAAAGCTGGGAAGAATGGAAAACAAGAGGCCAGCCGGGAGATAAGGGCTCCACAAGTTGTCCTGGGGAGAGGGGATATGGATTTGACTATTCTATCAACTCTCCTTTCATTTTCTCTGATAACTTTGGAGGCAGCCTTTTCCAGATGGGGAAGCCCCTTTATCCTGGATCTTTGGGTAACTGGTTTGGAGCTCTCACTAACCCTTGACATATGTTTAATATGTGTAGTGCTGAGACTGACTCGTATGGATTGTGCAAGTTGATAGTTAAGTCTTCAAGAGTATTATAAGTTGGTTGTTAGGTATAACTAGTATTAAAGTACTATTAAAATGACTACTATTAAAAATGAAATAAGGTAAGCTTATTCTTAAATAAGTTACATTACAAAAAAGATAATATAAAAAGATAATATAAAAGATAACACTTACCCCTTCCTAATTATTTTACTACATTTATCCATGCTTGAGATGCTATTTATGTCAACTGTTTTTGATAGAGACATCACGGGATGATACTACACAACTTTTTCCTGCCTTGAGTTCAATGGTGTCACATTGGTAGCTTGAACTCAGCAATGGTGGGCATATTTACACCACAAACATCAGCACATGCTTGATTAATTGTTTTGTTCATTATCTAGACTTAAGAAAGTGTTGGAGAAATGTTAATAATGCAGAGTAACAGTGTGTCAGATCAGTAGTTGTTACACTGCGAATAGCATTAAAAAGTGGAGAAAATGTTCAAAACTGTTATTCTGTGCAGCAAAGATGTTGCTCAAATCAATAACAAAGGACTGAAGTTCTGACATATGACTTCATAGTTTCACTTTCATCTAACCTGTCAATGTAAACAGGTTATTGGATGAGAAATGGAATAGGCAAAGTTGTTTTCTTTCTTCTTTCACTAGCAAGAGTGAGTGGTGCATTTCTGCACTATCTATAGGCAATCTTTTCTGCTGTAGAGTTTTTAAAAATACGGAGGAAATAAGATCACAGTCCCAGCAAAATTCTGTGCTGAGACACCAAGAAAGCTATGCGAAAGGTAAAGAAGGAAAACCATTCTCTCTTGCAGAACCTGCATCTGCTCCATCACTTCTTAATTTTGCATCGTATAAACCTCTCAACTTTCTCTTCCACTCTCTGTCTCCACTGACCTTTCTTTGGTTCAGCTTCTCATCATAGTTTGCTGGATCCAAAATAGTTCCAGTGAGTCCCTCTGGTTTCTCTGCCACATCACTGCTAGAAGGATTCAATCTTAAAAAGATAAAATTAAAAAAAAAATTTTTTAAAGATAAAATTTGATCCAAGTATCACAATAGCTAGAATGCTGGCAATCTTATAGTCCAAAGGCAGCATTTGGATACTTTAGTGTGTGTACAGGGTCCTTCACCATTTGTTCTCACCCTACTTTCAAACCTTAATGTCCATCTCTCGCTCATTCCCCTTACATATCTGCTGCCAGCCACATCACACCACTTGGATATTCTCCCAAGATGTGATCTCTATTTTTATTATTATTGTTATTTTTTTTTTTTTTTTGCTCTAGGCCATGTGCACTCATTGGAGAGGGACAGAGACAGTGAGAAAGGGAAAGGGAAAGTGAGAAAGCACTGTCAAAGGGGAATGATCATGCAATCCCTTCCATTCTGTTCCCCTCTCAGGATTTTGGGCATGTAAATTCATGTACCTGACATGTTTTTCAAGCCACTGGATCCAGGACTTGAACCACACAGTGGGCATGTGGTATCTATCTACATTAACCACCTGGCTGACCCTTTACCTGTGATCTTTTTGCTCAAAAGCCTAGTGAAATGGTACCTTCTCTATGAGGCTTTCCTAAATATCCCCACAAATTATAATCTGCCATTGTGCTCCTAATGCTCTTTAAAAAGGACCTCTACTATACCAAGCAGCACATTATCTTATAATTACTCAAATATATTTCTGATCTTGCCACTAGACTTGAATGAAGGCAGACAACTTCAGAAACCGGCCCAGTGCTTGACATAAAGTGACACTCAACTTTTTTTTTGAGTATATCTTCATTCTAAGTGGTTGAATAGATTTAGGGTCTTTCCTTGATGTCACTCATCGACCTAATATGAAGTAGCATTTTTTTTTAAACCTCACAGCTTGTTAAGTAATGGTTTGCCAGAGATGAACTGCACAGTGGCAGCTTTTCTCAGGTGTTTATATCAAGGCAAGCACAATACAAATGGACTTTACTTGTCTGATGGCATTTCCTAAAACACACTTGAAAGATTTCTCTTCATCTCATGAGGTTCTTACTATATAGGACCAAAGTTTGATGAAAGTTTTCACACATCTTGGTCTAGTTATATGCTAAAAACTTGTCAGATTAATTTGTTTGCAATTTAGACAACTTATTTTAATGTCATGTCTATTGGTATTTTACTTCAAACAGATGTGGTAGGTCCAGAATAACCTGAGTCAGAATGCAATGCCCCACAGTCCTTGAGAAGCATATGACACAATAAAAATAATGTGTCCATGCTTTGCTCACTAAAATATGTTTTTCCAAGCTCAAGGCCTAAGTTTTCAGGCATATGCTATTGGGGAACTCGACCACATAGGTGTTAACTTGTGAGAATGTATGAATCATAGAGCCCACACAGCAATCACTAGCCCAAGATTAGAATAAGAGGAAAAAAGTAGGTTTCATTCTCTTGTATTGACTGGATGACATACGCATCACTTACAATTATGGGCTGAATTATTTTTCCTCCGAATTTAGAAGTCAAAATCCTAATCCCAGGTACCTTCAAATTTGAAGATAAAGTCTTTAAAGAGATAGTCAAGTTAAAATGAGATCACTAGGGTAGTCACTAGATACAAATACCTGTATGGTGGAAAGACCATGTAAAAACATCAGAAGAAATTGGCCACCTAACAGGCAAAGAGAGAGACCTGGATTCTTACATTATGGCCCTTGGAAAAAAATAGGTCTTTCTTTCAGCAACTCAATCTTGGACTTCTAGCCTTAAGAGCTGTGTAAAAATAAGTTTCTGTTGTTTAAACCAGTCAGTGTATGGTACTTGTTTATTTGTTTGTTTATTTATTTATTTTGAGAGTTTTTTGCTATAGGTGCATGTGCTAGCCAGAGAGAGACAGAGAGACAAAGCAAGAAATCATCCCCCCAGGGAGGATGGGCACACCACAATTCCTTCTTCATTCTCCTCTCTGGATCTTGGGCACACACACACACACACACACACACACACACACAGTGTGAGTTTAAGCCACCAGATCCGGGACTTGAACCACGGTCGACTACATGGGATTCCAGCAACAGAGCCTTTAGGCCAACTGCTGGTTCCCTATATGGTACTTTTTAATGACAGTCCTAGAAAACTAATATACTTCCACTGTA